CATCACTAAAAAACATTTAGAATATATATAAAGAGATAAAGCATAATAACAAAAAGTCTATTACCACCAATATTATATTGATAATTAAATATCCATAATGAAATGTTGGATAATGAAATGCTTTTAAAGCACAAAAATATAACATACCTATTTCCTAGACGGGACACATTCATGCTACCCTTGCCACCCCAGCCAAAAGGGCAGGAGTAGCAGTTGCTACCCTAGGCTACTCCTTTTTGGTGTATTTGGTTATCATACTTTTTGTAACATATATATGTTTTGTAACATATATATTTTTTAGTTGAAGTGACATATATATGTCACTTCAACTAAAAAATCATTGTAAGTATACTTTTTAGGAAAAAATAATATTTTAATAAACAATATTCTAAATTTAATTCTACATCACTTCTATCTAAATAAGCACTTCTATCTAAATATCACACTAAATAATGCCTTTAGCTTATATTATAATGAATTTATAACTCTTTTTGCATTTTTAAATTGTAAAAATGTGAAAAAACTTTACATTTTGACACCTAAACTAAAGTGGGACGGCTAAAACTGGTAACCACTTTTTTTTCATAAATGTGTTTGCAAATCAAAAGCCAAATATTATGAGGGGATTTTTTGATTTGTTAAAATTTATTTTTCAGCCCACCTTAAATACTTAACCCAACAACCTTGTTCTATGTACATAATGCCAGCCTCTATGCTGACTTACAAAAAGGCGGCATCGTATGCCGCCTTTTTGTATGTTACACAATTTCTAGTTTAAGATTTTAGTTTAAATTTTTAGTTCAAAAAATAAGTTTAACAATTTTGCTCTTGATTAGGAGTATCTTTTGCAACTTATTTTTGTTATATGACATTATCAATACTTATTCAACTAAATTTACGGCTCACTATTATTTGATCTGTTATCATTGCCATCAGCCAAGTTTTTAAAAAGATTTTAAAATGCTAAAACTTTAGAATCAATTTTTCATGCAACAGAAAAGAACAAGAAGCCATTTGATTTAATGTTAACTATCTTCAGGATTATCGAAAACTAGCCTAGACTCAGAGCCAACGAAATCCTTAAGAGTAGGTGTTTCTTCGAACATGCTAAACTCTTTCTTTGTGATCTGTGTTGGTGAGGGCATCTAAATATCAAAGTGTCTTTCCCATCTGTAAAAGGCTATTTCTGCTGTTGGTTCAATTTTCTCCAGATGGGCCATTTGCAATTTGAAGTGTTGGTCCTGAAAAATTTCAAAAGTGTTCAAAAGTCTAGATTATTTAGAAAATAATAAGCAATAAATATAAAGTGTTTTTTCAATTTCTGAAATAACCCAGTTTGGTGAAGTATCTGGTTTTCAGTAAGATAAGTTTAAGTTCTGGATTTATAAACATGAGGGCCGACTCAGTTAGTTCAGGATAGTCAGCTCTTTTCTTTTGATTCTATAAGTTAACATTTTGTTTTTTTATTTCTTTTTTTAATATGCGTTTTAATTTATTTAACTTTTAAAATTAATTTATTTAACATTTAAAATATCTTTTAAAAAACTCTAGTTTTGATTACGATACTAAGCTGTTTGTTTGTATAACTTGTCTATTTTTCCAAACAGGATCACAGGTTAGATGGCTATTTGAGGAAGGTTGTGACACATTTTTCATTATTAATACCATGCTACTTCTCTTTTAGATCCTTGAACAAAATACAGCCATCTAAAAATATATAAACTACTTTTAACATCTGTTGCCTGCATGCAAGCATCAGTTTGGGAAAAGAAATCAACTTCCCATCAGGTTGGGAAAATCCCTTCTTAGCTTAAATTAGTCATAAAAATAAATATTTAACGTTTCAATTTTTGTAATTAAAATAAAGATTTAACTTCTCTCCTCTAGGTGCTGGCGATTAAAAAGGACGATTTAAAAGTACGATAAAACTTGTTTTATTCGGCAAAGAAATTAAAGCTGAAATATCTTCATATTATTCTTCTTCTGCAGCTTGCAAGACTAGGGATGATTAAATTGGTGTAGAGTTAATTTTAAATATAAGAAACTTGAGTACAAATGTACAAAAGTTCAAATGTACAAAAGGAATATTAATAGTCGCACACCTTAATGTGGTACTCTACCAAATATTTAAAATTGTTAAAAATTTAAAAAAAAATGACAATTTAATATCAATAAAAACTACATAAATTTACAATGATATTATAATAGCACTCTAAATTTATGTGGTTGAATAATCTATTTTATTTTATTTTGCCTGTATAACTTTGCCTCAATTTTATTGGGAAACATTAACTTTAATAAGTCAATTTAAAACACGATAACATGTTATATATTTATACAAATCTATTAATTTTTTTTTACATATGTTCTAGTCATGTAAGGAAAGGTTTTGGGTTTTCAGGTTATCAAAGTATTTCGAAAATAATAACTCTTTATATAATAATACAAAAAACTTTTTCAGGCCTAATAATTGAAAAAAAAGATTGGAGCAGAATTTAAAAATTTTTAAATGTTTTTCCCTAAAAATAAATATAACAATATGAAGTGATTGTTCTGCTTCACTAGATATCACGTATTAAAAATTTTAAAAACAGAGAAAACGGTGAAAAAGTCCAAATTTAGTCTTTTTACACAATCTTAACACTGTTGTCATTGCTGTTTGTTTTTCAGGAGAAAATTCGATTAAAGTAAATGGAGTTTCCTTGACACGTCACGAAAATCCAAGCAGGGCGCCGTGTATAATTACATAACTCCGAGTTGTAACAGGAACATTTTGCACCGATTCCGGACATGTAAAACTATCTAATAGTTAAAAGTTAATTATTTAATATTCAATATACATATTTTTATAATTTATATTTGGATTGCCGATAACTTGATGATAACTTTAAGCTAGTTTTAAATGATTCTTATTTCAATATAATAATTGTTATTTATAAAAATTTATGCAGTAAAAACGTTTATAATCGAAAGATCAAGTTGTTAAGATTACTGGAAAAAATTTAGATTAATTGTTCACATGAAGATGTTTCTATGCCTTCAAGAATTTTGAAGGAAATGCACAGTGAAATATTTCTGCTAACACTGATACGATAAATAACCCTGCTACGATGTAAAACGTTTATTTACTAATATCTTATATTACGTACGTTTTTTATTTATTACGTAAAAGGTATAAGCTTTCATTTCATAAGTATATAATCTTAAATTACGTAAGTTCTCTTTACAAGTTAATAAAACTTGACAAAAGTAAATTTTATTTGTAAAGTTACTTATATATAATATTATGATAAACTAATAACGTTACTAATAAATATTATTATGATAAACTAATAAAATTACTTATAAATATTATTATGATAAACTCAGATGAGTAAATTTATCTTGAGAATATTTTACTAAAAACAATATTTACTTTATGAAATTAAAAAAATATCTTGCTTGAAGCAATATTTGGAAATTAAAAAAAAAAAACTTTAATAAATAAAAATTACGTAATATTACTTATTTTAAATAATATGAAAGTTAATTTAACTTTCATACTATGTATAAAAAGTTTACAAAGTAATTTGCCATTTAAGCAACTGTTTTTATTTGGGTTATAACTTTGCTTAAGTCGTGATATACATAGATGCCAGATTCAAACCGCGATGATGCATGCTCCCGATGAATAACTCGGTAGCAACTAGGCTAATGAGGGGCAAAACGAGACACTTATACAGTAGTTTATCTAAAACAGCCCACGTAAAATTTTTTGCTAAATAACTAGATATTTTTGAAATCCTCTAACATTAAAATATAACTCAACAAATATTGAATAGAAATGAATAGAAAAATTGCAATGGTTAGGTCTCTAAGGCGTTTTGAAATGTTAATTAATAAACTAAAATATTTGCTAATGATGCAATCGTTTCCAATCCTATATTTGATATTTATAAACTCTTATAAGCTACAAACACAATTTTCAAATTTTATCTTAATTTCTAATTAGTTCAAAGCTAATTACTTTAAATATTTATTTTAAATATTAACAAAAGAAAATGGATCATTTTTTGCAACTGCGCAAAAAAAACGGTTTCTACCAAACAAGTTTATCTCAAATTTATATTGATGAGATTGTAATAAAGATTATCTGTTATTCTTAGGCGTTTTATCCCGATGAGAACTTTGAGAGAATTTTAACATATAGGCACTAAAGTTTCTAAAATTATTGGTATTTTATAAGAAGCCCGAAATTATCTAAACAAAAAAACTTAACTAAGTTCTATTATTTATTTATACTCAATTATATAAATTATACAAACATTGCCTAGGAAAGTACGGAGAAAAGTAATTTACAATATCTTTATCGCCGTCAGAAACATGCGACCCGCGTAGTTAATTATACGGATCGCTTCTATCATTAAAAATATTTTTTTGACTATATGAAGGTACTAGATGTTTATAAACTTAACATATTTGATGTTTTATGTTTTACTTTTACGTGCAAAAACGACCTTTTTACTTTAAAACCAATAAATAAATACTCATTAAAAAACAATAGTTTTTTGAATGAACCTTTTTATAGAACAAAATTCAATCAATTTTGTATTGCATATCGTGCACCTCAGCTTTGGAACAAAACAGTATTACCAAGTTTTGATCCTTCTAGAACTTTTCTTGTTTTTAAAACTAAATTTAAAAAGTTCATTCTCTACGCACAGTATACGAAAAATGTATGTCGTTGACAACACCTACGCTGTATCATTTTAAAATAACATTGAATTTAAAAACATTTTAAATAAAAAATATTTTAAAGGGTGCTTCAAGACTCTTGAGTTCCTAATATTATTAATAAAATCGAACAAAAAAAAATTCCGCAGAAGAAACAAAAGTCACTCTAATCTAATATAGTTAATACCGTATCTAATCCGTAAAATAGTTCTCTATTTTTGGATCATCTTCTCTTATTCTGGAAGTCGATATTTACTGGACAAACATAATTAATTAAATGTACTTACCTTCTTTGTTGGAATATAAAGACAGCAAGATATAATAAAATATGCATCTTTCTTTTCGCATCTTTATTGTTTTAGAGATGTTATTAATAATCTTCTGTAGAAACTTAATTACAAGTTCTTTCGTTATAGTGAACTTTCGCTGCATGAATAGCCACAGTTGGGAGTTTGCAGCATTCAAAAAGATAACTTTGAAACTTTTAAAGTTTATTATTACTATTTGTTTTGCTCAATCATTTTCTGAAAGTTTATTGTTTATATAAAGAAAAATGCTAATAAAATAAATTAAACTTTTATAAAATATTTATGAACGTAAAAAGATTTTATAGAAGCCTTAAAATATAGTAAAAAATAACCCTCGGCCTTGGGTTGATCAATAGCATTAAAAAAAAAGAGAGATAATAATAACTAAAAAAAAAATAGTTGAAATTTGTGGTGTTAATTTTTAGTTTGATTGAAAAAAATTGTTACAAAAAATTATTTTCTTGTCATAAAATGAGTTTCGTTTCTTAATTTGACTTTAATATTTTAAGTTGTTTTTTTTAATTGGTCGATTAAGTTATTTTGGAGCTTGATCCCAACAGACGTTTTTTCCTAAACCAACATTACAAGAAAATTATATTTCTTCTTCAACCAACATTATAAGAAAAAATTTGGAATATGGAAGGCAATTCCACATTACAAATGCTCATGCGAACTATGTGATGAATAAAATAAAGACAAAAAATAATAAAAATAGTTATTATAATAAGAACAAATTTAAATGTGGTATAAGATCACTATCATTGGTTAATATAATTCAGTATTTTTCTTGACTTAATTTATATAATATGTTTGTAAAATCTATAAATGTAAAATAAAGTTTTTGTGATGCCCCGGAAAATCATTTGTTTTACGTACTTTTGTTGATTATCTAACATCAAACACTAGTTTAATTATTTTAGATGTTTATGTGCGACGTCCAGTCTAAAACTATTTTCAAGACTGAAACCACAATTTTAAATTCAGGACTATTGAATTGCACTATTATTCAACCCACAACCCACAACCCATGGACTGCACTATTCAGCAACCCACGTGTATACTGTTGCAAATAAAGGTGAATAGTCTTATATTCACTTATTTTTTTAGTATTTCAATTATTCGTATTTACATCAACCATAAACAAGAGATCTTTGCGCGATATTTTTTTTTGACTTGCAAGCACACAGCGGCAGTTCAAATAGAATTACCATTCAAAAATAACGCGTTTTCAACGTTTTTTGTGTCTTTAAAGTAAATTTCTTTCAATTTTCTTCCCTTTCCCGTTTCATGGAAAATAAGAAAAGTGGAAAACCACCTTTAGAGTTTTTTTTTCTTGTAACTTTTTTTTAAGCGACTACGTTTCTAGCATAGCAATGTAGTTCTTTAGCGTCAAAAACGCTTTAAAAGGTTTTTTAGAGTTTTACATTTATCTTTGGATGTGTTTTGGCACTGTGTTCTTTAACTACTTTGCAATAAAATATCAAGTTGCTAATCATTTATCAATAGGAAAATTCTAATACGTTTGATTACTCTTCAGCGGTATTGTTTAAAATTACTTGTTTGATAATTTAACAAGAACTTTTAGTATCGAGAATTTATCTGCGGCTATTCTTGATTGTTTATTGTCATCATAGGTAAAAAAAAAATGCCAAGAACGTGGTTTAATTAAAAAAAAACTTTTTGCTCTTTTTTTGAAATTTCAGTTTTCTTTCTAAAACTATATATATATATATATATATATATATATATATATATATATATATATATATATATATATATATATATATATATATATATATATATATATATGTATATATGTTAGGATGGGTCATAAAATTTTTTTTAGAGTTGCTAACCTGGCTATGGTCTAGAAAGTTGTTTTTTTTATGTACTAATTTAGGAAAGTATTTACTTTTATGGATTGAACAATGTCTTCCACCAGCAACAATAATTACAAAAATTAGCAAGCCCTATTATTATTCAAAAAAAAAGTTTTTCAAAATTATGTGATGTAGGTACTTTTTTAAAATTTCAAAAATAATAATTTTTTTATATAAAAATTAATATTTTAGATTATTATTATTTTAGATAAAAGTGAAAAAGGTGCATTTTTACGTGCAATTTTATTTAATAACAATTTTTTTCGGCAATATGATTTTTATAAAACGATTATTATTTTCGAATTTTTTTATAAAATTTCGCTTCTTTTGAGTACCAGGTTGACTTACTTTTGAAAAACTTTTTTTCTCCAAAATATTAGGGTACCGGTAATTTTTAATAAAGTTGTGCTCTTTAAACCTATCACAATCATTCTCATATTTGATAGTATCAATATTATTATCTATTAGTAATTTTTAGAGCCTGTAACAAGAAAAAAAAATTTTATGACCCACTATATATGTATATATATATATATATATATATATATATATATATATATATATATATATATATATATATATATATATATATATATATATATATATATATATATATATATATATATATATATATATATATATATATATATATAAATATATATATATAAATATATATATATATATATATATATATATATATATATATATATATATATATATATATATATATATTTGACTTTAATTTCAAAATAATTAATTAAACTTTCATTAATAAAAGTTTGCGTAGTATAAGAGATATAGTCAGGTCTGGTTTTACCACTTGGTAAAGATAACGCGGCGGGCTCGAGTGGCTAATTTTTTGCGGTACCAATAAAAGTTTAATGTTCTTGTCAATTAGGTCAATTCAGTTTAAATAATGATATTTATGGTGCCTTGGCGGGAATTGCAGAAAAAACAATTTATTGTTATTTTTTTGTTGGTGTTGTTTTATTGTTATTTAGGTGCCCCAAGAAGACCTAATGGTCTTGTTACAGAACACCGAGGAAGTGCATTTAATCAGGAAGTTCACGCCTCCTTCGTTACCGTGACGCGAAAATATGTCCAAGGCATGTTTCGAACCAGGATCTCCTGCTTATCAAGCAAGCGCTTTAACTACTGCATAATTAAATTAGCATCTGGAATTACATCAGATCCACAAGGACATACAACACAAGTTATTGCAAAAATCATTTTCACTTTTAAATTACCGTTTCTCTGGTTGTGCAGTGTGACGTGTAGTCTAAGGTCATCATAATTTGTAAGCAAAATCAAGAAAAACACAAAGTACCTTAAACCATTTAGATAAAATTAAAATGTTTTTGTAAACTGTAGAAATAACACGTAGATAAAATAAAAAACTACTTTAATTTTAGATACAGCTAAAACTGCAGTCAACTCAGAGATATTAGCACTTTTTGAACCAGAATTAACCTTAATCATATGATTTAGGTTTAAAAACAATAACCATAAAATGGAGATAAAAAACCCTCTCAAAATCCAAAAGACAAATATGAAATAAACTTTGCTTTTTTTACTCTGTAATACTGTAAGTAACTATTTCGGCGTTTGATTTTCTTTTAATTTTAACTCGCAAGGAAAGAATGGAATATTGCTTAAATTTTGAGTACGCATTGGAACATGGAGAAATATAATGCATTGATCTAATCAGTAAATTGAAATTCATTTCGAGACATGTTACAAGGTGTTCATTTGCCATACAGTGTACCATATACCTTATACATATATAAAGTACATATATAAAGTATAAAGTACATATATATATGTAAAGTATAAAGTAGGCCATGCAGTGTACCAAACATTGATTCAAAAAATAATTTAGCAGATGGTGTTTCCATCACTGTTATATCATTTTTTACACTTTCAGTTTCTTCAGCAAATGGTGTGCAAAGCATCTCTAAACTTAGGATAATAAAAATATATTTGCAAACGTATATGTATAAATAAGATTTATTAGATTAGCTGCTCTGTTAAATGGAAATGATATTTCTAAAAACATCGAACTAATAGAACTTGTTTCTACATTTGCAAAATCAAAAGGGCAAAAGAAAACTTTTGAAGTTGCATTATTTTATAATATTACACAAATATACGATTGCATACTATTAAACATATATATATATTTTATTGAATGTAAATACTAATTAAAACAGACGACAGCATAGCATAACCTTTGCATTCTTTTGTGAAAATTTATATCAATTAAATAACTAGTTGACGTGTGTGCGGAGTGCAATATGACTGGCAAGCCTAAGTTGCTGAAAAATCTGACGCCAGCCATAAGTATGAACAATAAATATTAGTAATGCATTAATTATTTTGATGTCGTTTTTATTATTCATAATCAATGTATATTTCTCAAATATTCTTTCAGAGCATTTTTTTATAAATATTTTTTAAAAATAAAACAAAACAAGTATTCTAAATTTACAAACAACTTTACAAAATTTTTGAATTTTTGTTTTGATTTGCAAACAGAACAAAAATTCTTAAAATTTAGCAAATGTCTTCAAACAAGAATATGTCAATTAGATTTTTTTTTAATTAAAATAAATATAAATATAGAAAATCCAACAGAAATAGTATTTAAATCCACTGACCGGGATCTTTCGTAAAATCCGTAGTCTCCGGATGAAAACCGGATTGGTAACAAATTAGTAATAATTAACTTAAGTTGCTGTTATCGATAACTCATTAACGACAACTACACGACCTTATTATCGCAATATAACTATGATAACAAGATTTTTTGTTATTATTATGTTTTGACCGTTTTCGGTATAGAAGACACATCGAACCATTAAAAACTTTTAAAGCAACTTATCATAATGTTGTTGGGCTAAAATATTGTTTCACAAAAAGCTGCATAAATGATTTTGTAAAAACTTATATGGAACAATGGCAGCTAATAATCTTTTTAGTAGTAAGGCGATGGACAAAGCAGCTAAAACAAAGGCTACCATTGAACTCTACTATACAACTTTGATAACTCATACTAAAGAACGAAAAGAGAGGTTTGTTTCAAAATAATTTGCTTGCCTATAAATGTTTTTTAAAATGGGGATCAATTTATATTTAGATTTGAATGAATTATTTTTTATTTGAAGATCTTAATTTCTTCACACAAATGTACGTTTAAATATGTCTCTCTCTATTTCTATTATATATATATATATATATATATATATATATATATATATATATATATATATATATATATATATATATATATATATATATATATATATATATATATATATATATATATGTATATATATATATATATATATATATATATATATATATATATATATATATATGTATATATATATATATATGTATATATATATATATATATATATAAACATGTATACATATATATATATATATATATATATATATATATATATATATATATATATATATATATATATATATATATATATATATATATATATATATACATTTATATATATATATATATATATATATATATATATACATTTATATATACATATATATATATATATATATATATATATATATATATATATATATATATATATAAATGTATATATATATATATATATATATATATATATATACATATATATATATATATATATATATATATATATATATATATATATATATATATATATATATATATATATATGTATACATGTTTATATATATATATATATATATATATATATATATATATATATATATATATATATATATATATATAATTTTTTTTTATTAAGTTGCCGAATATTTGTGACATCACTAGTATATACATGCATACATACTGCATGTTTATGTATACAGATCTATGCAGTGTCAGATTACAATTTTTTGGACCTTAAACAAACAAAATTTAGGGGTCTTTTTATTTAATGGAAAGTATTTTATTAGAGAACATTATTTTAAATCAAGATGTCACAAATTACATTGATAATTTGTTTGCAATTTACATTGTGAACAATTTGCTCAAATATGTTTTAATTACCTTTAATTTTGAAAAAGAGCGTTTACCTGAGCAATAATTTAAGCATTAGAAAATTTGCAAAACTGTTTCAGTGTTAGGAAAAACAATAAACAGATGGTCATCTATAATTATTTTATACATTTCTGTTTTAAATTTTAAAATATATTTGTCTGCATTTTAGCTTTTAGTTGCTTTAGGATCAAAAATGAATCAATTCATCAAACAAATTTGCATCAATATCATCTAGATGACCTTTTATTAAATATTTAACTTTTTTCAATTCTATGTTTCCAAGTTCCAAATCAGAAAAAAAAAAAAATCTGCATAGACTTCAGATCGCTTTTGCAAATTTCCCTTCATATTTTCCAAAATGATCCTTACAACATTTGTCTTAAATTTTTCTCAAGGATATAAGGCAAGAGTGTGTTGCAAATTATTTCATTAAAAAGTTTCTTTTAGATTTGCTTTCGTTTCATTTTGTATTCGCAATCAGACAACAACTTTTTGGGCTCCGCTTATAAACTTTAAAATAAACTCATTTAACCATGCAAACAATTTTAAACAAGTTTTTAGCATTAATAATTTTAAGCTCTGCAAAGTCTGAGATACTAGGGTGTGTTGATTTTTTTTTTCTTCTGAAAATCAAAAAAGAGTAGCAAAAATTGGTATTTTCTACCTATTGCATGACTCCACCTGCCCAACCAGTATAAACATTTGTACAATCTCCTCCAATAGGCACGAAATGTTGATTTTTACTGTTTATCCAGTCAACCAAGTGGTCTGCAATAACTTAGGCTTTTTTTTATTATTGGTCATATCTGGAATAAAGTGAAAAAAATAGTCACCACCAGGATCTTTAACAGCAGAGTAATGTTCTTCTTTAATCAAATAGGAAAATTTCTTTTATTCATTTCTGTAATTATTTTAGTGGCATCTACTCTCCAGTCAAAAAAAAATACATGAAACTTGTTTTTTTTTAGGTCTAATTCAAACTGATTTTTAATTCTTTTGCTAACTTTTCCTGAACCCTTTTGACCTTATTATAATCTATAATGAGATGACAATCACTCTCGCCTATAAGCTTTGCATCTATCAAAGCAACTGTGGCTATTTCAGCAGCTTCTCTAAAGCTTGTTTGGTGACTCAGGCTAGCCGGAGCAATGCTTTTAATACTCATAGTATTTTAAATTGAACATGTTTGATTCGGAGAAGATTTACTTTGATTTTGATTATCAATATAGAACAGGATGCAAATGAACTGATTTTGAAATTTTTTATGGTAGCAACTAATAGTTTTAAACTTACTTGCTCTATATGTGGCATATCTCTAGCTGTTGGAAGCTATGATGTATAAAGTTCTTTTCCATTCCTTACAAGTTTGCTCATTTTAATTGATAATGATTCTTTTTTTGACTTTTTTAATAAGAAAAATATTTACCGGCACTTTCCGGTAAACATTTTCTGGTAAAAAACTGGTATTTTATTATGGTGACTTTTTATGCACATTATGCTGTGTTTTACATAACAACAACACATCTTTCCAGAATATTCTTAAATCACCTGCCATCATTTAGCAATAAAAAAAACAGATAAATTACTTGAAAAAATCTAAAAAAGATGACTGATTCAATGCAACCAGGGATGCGGAGTTCCAAAAAGGACTCTGGATTTGAAAGTGAAGAAAAAATTACTTCTTTCTAGTTTTTGGTATACAGGAGCTTTAAAAATATAAAAAAGCTATGGGGGAAAAATCAAGATATATAGGACAGAAGAACAATCAGTTTTTGAACCTGGAGTCTTTAGCTACAATGGCCGCCAGGACTCCAGGCTTAAAAACAATAAGTTCCAAGTCATTAAATATCATACATTTTTTTCTTATAGCAGATCATTAATTGACCAAAATATTTAGAGCTTCTGGACACCAGAGACCATAAAAAAAAAATAAAGTTATCGTCCTGCAACATTTGACTCCAAATGTTGCAGGAGGATAACTTTATTTGCCAACCAAATTTAATAAATGTCCCTCCCAAAATCTTAATAAATCTTACATACACTTTTATAACGGTTTTCTACCCATAAACATTCTGCTCATTATTATTTTTGCATTATTATATCATTGAAAAAAAATCTAATTTACATTCTTGTGTGAGTTTTCATTCTTGTGTGAGTTTACATTCTTGTGTGAGTTTTTTATTTGTGTGACTTTTCCCTCCAAACAAAAAAAATTGAAAATGAAAAAATAGTGTATAGTTTGAAATTTGTAACTAATTTATGATTTGAAAATTTTTGGTTAACCTATCCAAATCATTTGACTATTTTAAACTAATGAATTAATAAAATTTTTACATAAATAAAAGTAATAAATCAATATCGATTCTTAATTTGGTAGATATATGACAATGTGTTGCATATATCTACCAAAGGTGCCCTTTCTTTGACATTACTAATCGTATATATATATATATATATATATATATATATATATATATATATATATATATATATATATATATATATATATATATATATATATATATATATATATATATATATATATATCTATCAGGCTTTCCCAGGAAAGGCGTGCGGTCGCACGCCTTGTTTGTCCACGCATAGAATAAATTTTTCAGAAAATGTGACCGCGGCAATAATTCGTAAGAAAGCGGAAATTATCCATAGAGAATAAAAAATAATATTTAAAAAAAGAAACGAAGTCTAAACAAAGTATAAAATTGAAATTGGGTGTAAGAAAAATATTTCGATAATAAAAAAAAATTAAAAAAAAAAATTCTTGTAACAAAAAAAAAAGTCTTGAACATTTTTTTCAAAATTTTATACTGTTTTTGTTTTCTTTTATTAGGGTTGCTATTTTCAGCTACGAAATTTGATACAAGTCAAGGAAAAGAAGACGATAAGTCATAAAGTTTTCACAAAAATAAAAAGACTTGATACGTAATTTATTCACGAACTTTATCAGACAATGTATTAAAAAATTGATTCATTATTTAGGCTAGACAAATTTGGTCAAACTTTTTCATTTAATTTAGTTTTTACGAAGGTTTATGCAAAGGCAATAACTTTATTCCCCAATACTTAGACAAGAAAATAAATTGCTATTTTAATTATTAAATATATTATTTGAGATTTTAAACATAACAAAATTTAAATGTGAAAAAAGTTCTCGACTTATTCTAAACTGATTTTACTGAGTCAATGCTCGCCTTTTATTATGTTGAAATTATTCAATTGCATAATTTTGTAATTACGAAAGAAGTTAAAAAAATAATTGCATTGCTTCTGTTGTCATTGTTGCGAAAACAGTTCCTTCGGGACATTATTATATATTAACACTCGTTCACAATGTCAATTAATGATCTCAAAATAAGCAACTCAATCGTTTGACAATAACATTTTCTTTCATTTAAAAAAAAAAAAAAACATATTTTACTAATATATAGCAATCGTTTTCGTGTTTTCTTGCGTATCAATACATTCAAACATTAAAATCAATACATTTAAACATTTAAATGTATTTACGAAACATTTAAAAATTGTTTATAGTTCTATCGTGAATTTTAAAGTATTACTGACTGATAAAAGTCATAAACAAGTTTTACATTAAAAGGTCTTTTTATTTTCTTTAAGCATTAATCTTTTTCTTTTTGATTTGATTTTTCTTATTGATTTGATTTTTCATAGCTTAAATAACTACCACCCTAAATAAATAAATAAATTATAGGTAAATTTTTTTTTTAATAATATGCATTAATTTTTTAATTTTAAAGCACAAACAGATTTCTGTTATTCACTTTAAGATTGCTTGCATTTTTGAGGTATTTTCGTTTAGCTTTGTTTTGGCGCGAATTCTTGAAACGCATAATAATAAAACGTGGTCAGTTAGTCAGAAAATTTATTCTATGCGTGGACAAACAAGGCGTGCGACCGCATGCCTTTCCTGGGAAAGCCTGATATATATATATATATATATATATATATATGTATATATATATATATATATATATA